TTAAACAAATGTTCATAATTAATTTAAATAAATTACAAGTTAAAAGGGGCATGGACATTTCTCTTTTTTGTATCGAAAAAAATATCGAACCGTGAGACTAAAGTGTCGAACCGAACCAAATCGTTTATTTTCTGTATCGTTGCAGCCCTAATATAAATAAATATATATATATAACCAACCTGAGACAGAGTGGTCAGTCTCAGCACCGAGGCTTGTGTCTGAGGGAGTTCTCAGGGTGGCTTCAGGAGGCGTTTGCTCCTCTTCTGATTCAGTGAGGCTTGGCTCATCGTCTTTGTTTACATCGAACTGTCTGACATTCACCTCCACACCAACATCAGGTTCAGCATCAACCTCCTCCTGAACCATCTGTTCCTCCTCAGTCTYTGCTGGTTCTTCTGTCTGATCTCTCACAGCCAGGCTGTCGTCGTGTCCAGTTCTGGGTGCGTCGCCCACCTTTTCTTCAACAACGTGGCCGATGTTTATTTGGACATTTGATAGGTCAACTGCAGCGCACAAACGTGGGGAAATAAAAACACACATTTAATTCAGACAACAATGCAGCAGCGTGTATCACCAGTCAAACGCATTTCTATAAAACTCTGCAAATCACAGAAAGACCAATTTTGCAACAGCACTAATTTCTGATATAGATAACCAAATTCAAAAAAGGAAAATGAAACCAACCGTCCATACTATCCAAAGACGTTTCTGCTAGAGGTGTGCTGTCGCTGACCGTCGAGTACTTTTGTCTCAGGCTGAAAGCAAGCTCCTGAAAGTCATCAAGTACTTCAGTTTCCTCATCCAAACTGCTTGYGTCTGYGTGAAAAACGTCTTCCCGTTTTGCTTCCTGTCCCTCAAGCATTTGCTCAATCTTGTCCAGGATGGAGTTTTCTGATGTCTCCAGGATGCTCTCGAGTGCATTTTCGATGTCCTGCGTGGACCCTGTGTGCGACGCACGGGTGGCCTGCAGCTCCGTGTCCAGGTCAGAAAACATGGCTTCGATTTTGTACAGGTTCTTCAGACCCAGAAGCCTCTGAACTCGATCCATGTTCTCTTCTGTGAAGTGTTCTCTTAACACAGTCAGTCTCATTATGTCGTCACCGTATTCTGGCTCTGGATCCGACTCGGTGGGCTGGGTAGCGTCGGGCGAGGGTTCCTCAGAGCGTAGGTCGTCCGGCTGTGAAATAAAAAGCGCATTCTCATCTTCAAGTAACTCTTCTTCTTTAGGTTCGTTTTGATCTTCGGTTTCTGCATCTGTTGTGTCCTCTTCCTCTGCTGTTTGGGGCTGAATCTCAGCTTCCTCTACAGGTGATCCTGTCTGGCTRCTATTACTTTCTGCTTCAACCGCTACGTTTTCCGGAATCTGATCAGGTAACCTGTCATCGTCTACATCCTCAACAACTTGTACATCTGAATCATTAGACTGCTTTTGCTCAGTGGACAGGGTTTGGGCTTTTTCGGTCGTAGCGTTTGCCACTTCTTGATCAATCAGATGTTTGTTTTCATCAAACGTCATGTCAAAAACCTGCTCTGTTACAACAAGACTGTCCTCTAGATCACCACGATCCCTGGTGATCTCTGAATCTTTGGACTCTTCTTCTATGTCCTCAAATGTTTCATGTGTTTCAATATCATCTTGAGGTAGGTTTACATCATCATCTGGTACAGATTTAACACTCCTGTCTATTTCATGGTGCATCTGTTCATCCGTTGGTTTTAATGTCTCGTGCAAAGCTTCCTTTTGTCTGATTACGTCTTCAACATGCTCATGTTCACCATCAAGCAGGGGTTTTTCATCGTCGCTGTTGGTTTCTTTAATATATTCCTCCACAGTGATGGAATGAGAGGCACCTTCGGGAACATTTATGTCCTCTGTGGCATTCTGAGAATCTGAGAAAAGCRGTTCTTTCTCCATTTTCCCTACACTTGGTTGGGCTTCTGCTTCGGCGTCTTCRATCTTATCGTCGTCGTCTTCTTCGTCTGAACTCACGTCTTCCGTTGTGGCCTCGCTTCCTGTTACGACCGAAAACACCTTTGTCCACAAGTTTCTATCCTCCATTGCATTCTGTTTATCATCCTGAGCTGTTGGAGGGCCTTCCTGCTTTACGACACCATCCATCGCTGGAGCATCCGGGGTTTCTTCGGAAAACGGCAGCAGCGGAATTCCTTCTTTTCTTTCTGTGACGACATCTTTAAGCTCCGCCTCCTCTTCCACGTCCTCTACGTGCGGAGTGACTTTTGTGGTGGTCTCTTCATCGGTGACAACGGCATCGAAGGTTGCTCCAAGTGACGTTTTTACATCTGGGATCTGCTCTACCATCGAAACGGACGCCCGTTCATTAAAAACATCCCCTTCGGGCAAAGGTTCCTCTTCAGATGAGGCAGGCCCGTCGTCTTTGGTTTCGCTTTTTTCAGACACGTTTTCCAAAGCAGACTCAACTTTTCCTCCTTCTGTAAAGTCAGGCACAACGTCTGAATCAGACTCTAAATCTTTTACTGAAGGTGGGTCAATGGAAGTGTTTAAATCAAGTTTAAGTAAAGAGGCACTTGGATCTACAGGAACTTTATCAAGATCCCTTGCATTTTCAGGATGCTCGGTGTGCTTTTCACTCTCAGTCATTTTCTCTCCTGATGGCTGTGTTTTTGTCTCTGCTTCCTGGATTTGGACATTTGCTTGTTGGGTATTATTGGTTTGTTGGGTATTACTATCATTCTTCTCCTCCACCAATGAGCCTAAAAGCAGATCTACATCGTAAGTGTTGAACTTGTCAAATCCAGTTTCGAAACAGACAAAATCTGTTTCCTAAGAATGAGACAAAAATAGTGGAAATTACCATCATATTCATGGCTGTTACATTTACAAGCTGTATTATTGTCATATGTGAAAAGCTTCACAGCAGGGCTGAATAGAGTATCAGTTTCTCATACCTCTGCAGGAACTTCAAGTTCTCTGTTGGTATAATTGTGGTTTACTGTGAGAAGCTCCTTTGGGAAATAGCCAAAACTGCTCCCGACCTTTCAACAAGAGATCGTGTCGATTAGTCAAAGAACACAAGACAATCCAGATGAAAAATATAGCAAACATGTTTACACTTAAGTATACTTACACTTCCTGCCCATAAGTCCGCCCTTCTTCCAGACAGTTTGTAGTAAACATATACTGTTTCAGATTTCTTGAATGAAAGGAACCTACAATCAGGTCCTGAGAAATCGTTCACAGCTTTTCCCCGACATAGGAGCACTGGAAAAACAAAATGATTCTCATTATTGCTGGTTATTCCATGTAAAATAACCTCATATAAATCATTTAAAAACAAAAATAGCTAAATCCATTGCTGTATTATACAAAGTAAAGGACGTATTTAATGATAAAGCACTTTTTTTGTTGTATAATGTGACAATAGTCCCACACTTAACCTACTGTATTAATGTTTGGAGGAAAGCATGCAAAACAATTACAATTCCCATTTTTGTTTTACAGAAAAGAGCAGTAAGGATTATTACCAGAAAGAATTACAGACATTAAACAAATTCATTATTCCATCAGTTGAAGTTAGTGAAGTTCTATGATTTGGTTGATTATAATATTTTGTTACTTATGTATCGGGCTCATAAAAACACCTTACCTTCAAACATCCAATTACATTTTTATTAAAAGAGAAAGTTTTTATAATCTCAAG